ATCACGCCTTCATTTAAATTTACATGGCTGCCGCGCTGAGCCAACAAACAGATGATCAGCTGTTTGCCCGCTCGGCGCGCTAGTCTGGACGCTCCCCTGCCGACATCAAAGCCCTTTGTCGGCAGCCCTGGTAAACCTCATCCCATGAGGCATAACGGGGCTGCCAACAAAGGGCTTTGATGTCAGCAGGGGAGCGTCCAGTCTAGCGCGCTGACCGGACAAATAGCTGATCAGCTGTTTGTCGGCTCAGTGCGGCAGCCATGTAAATTTAAATGAAGCCGCGATCATTTAAATCAAGGCTTCATTTGCCTTTGCCTATGTGTCTAATCTACATGCCTCTGATGACAGAGGCATGTAGTCTAGACACAGCCTATGTTAGATGTCTGATCTCTACTAACCCGAAGATGAAATAAAAATATAATTTACCACTTCTGCCATTTCCACATTTTCTGTTATTGCCTTTCATGCCTCATCGAGTAATAGCTCTACTTTATCCTGGGTCATATTGTTGCTTCTACTGTATTTATAGAATGATTTTTGTTAGCCTTTATGTCTTTAGCTAGTCTAATCTCCTTTTGTACCTTGAGGCTGTGTCTAGACTGGCAAGTTTTTCTGCAAAATCATCTGCTTTTGTGGCAAAACTTGCCAGCTGTCTACACTGGCCGCTTGAATTTCCAGAAAAGCACTGACGATCTCAAGTAAGATCGTCAGTGTTTTTCTGGAAATACTATGCTGCTCCCGTTCAGGCAAAAGACTTTTTTCAAAAGACTTTTGCACAAAAGGACCAGTGTAGACAACACAGTACTGTACTGTTTTCCGCAAAAAAGCCCCGATAGCGAAAATGGCGATCGGGGCTTTTTTGCGGAAAACCGCGTCTAGATTGGCCACGGACGCTTGTCCGCAAAAAGTGATTTTGCGGAAAAGCATCCTGCCAATCTAGACGTGCTTTTCTGAAAATGCTTTTAACGGAAAACTTTTCCGTTAAAAGCATTTTCAGAAAATTATGCCAGTGTAGACGTAGCCCTACTCTTTTAATTTTGTTCCTAAATGCTTGAGTTGTAACTTGTTTGTTTACATTCATCCTTTCTAATTTGACATAGTTTCCACTTTTCATAGGACTCTTTTCTGAGTTTTAGATAATTGAAGATTTCCTGGGTAAGCTAGGGTTGTTTCCTACCATACTTCTTAACTTTCCTATGAAGTGGGATAATTTACTCTTGTGCACTTAATAATGTATCTCTGAGAAAACTGCCAACTGTCTCAGAGGCTATGTCTAGACTACAGGCTTCTTTCAGAAGAAGCATTTCTGGAAGAGATCTTCCAAAAAAAGTCTTGCAAAAGAGAGCATCCACACTGCCAAAGTGCATCAAAAAAGCGATCTGCTTTTTTGAAAGATAGTGTCCACATTGAATAGACACTATCTCTCATTTAAGCTGTGATTACTATGGACGGAGTGGCCACCAGGTCACCTGTGCTTTTTTCTCTTTCCTCTTCTTTCGAAAGAGCTCCCTCTTCCCCATCCACACACACCTTTTTCCAAAAGAGCTCTTTTGAGAAAAGAGTTTTTCCTCATATAAAGAGGTTTACCAATGTCGGAAAAACCCTTTGCTGCTTTCGATTTTTTTTCCAAAAGAATGCGATTGCAGTTTGGATGTAAGTGAAGGTGTTTTTTTTTTAAAACGGCCATTTTTCCAACAAACTCTGTAGTGTAGATATAGCCAGAGTTTCTTCTTGCAATCCCTTATCTTTAGTCTCCTGTTTCCCCTCTTACTATCCTTAGAACCATGAACTCTATCACTTTATGATCACTTTCACATAAGTTGTCTTCCACTTTCTAATTCTCATCCAGTTCCTCCTTATTGATAAAATCAAATAGAGAACAGCCATTCCCCTGTTGCTTTCTTCATCTTCTCTAATAAAAAAATGTCTCTAATGCATGCCAAGAACTTTTTGGATAATCAGTGCTCTGCTGTTTTATTTTCACAACAGTTGTCTGGGTAACTGAAGCCTTTTATCATCACCAAGTCATCTGCTTTGGATAATTTGATTAGCTGTTTAAAAAAGCCGGATCCATCTCTTCTTCCTTGTTAGGTGTTCTATAGTAGACTCCTATCTTTATATCACACTGTTTCCTTCCCTCTTTTTATCTTTACCTCAAGGAAAATTTGGCAAAAATGGTTTTCCTTAGTCTGGGGAAGAGGAGACTGGTAGGGGGACCATGATAACAGTTTTCAAACACATATAAGATTGTTACAAAGAGGAGAGTGGAAAACTGTTCTCTATGGCTAGGTCTACACTACAGAGTTTTTGCACAAAGTAAAACAAAAGAACAGAGGGGTTTTTCTGGTATAGGTATTCTTCCTCCTACGAGGAATAATTCCTTTTTGTGCAAGAGCTCTTGAACAAAAAGTTGTGTGTGGATGGGAAACAGGGTTTGTGTGCGGAAAAAGAGGCAATCGAAAAAAGCACAGGTGCCCTGGTGGCCATTCTGTAAATAGCAATCAGAGTTTCTTTTCGAGAGAGCGTACATGCAGTCTGGATGTTCTCTTGCACAAAAGCTCATCGCTTTTTCAATGCACTTTTGCAGTGTGGACGCGCTCTTGCGCAAGAAGTTTTTGTGGAAGATCTCTTCCGCAAAAAGCTTCTTGCACAAGAAGCCTGTAGTGTAGACATAGCCTATA